GTTCCATGAGGCACATCACAGGATTAGTGTTCCCCAGAACGTAAATTAAGTTTTAATTATAGTTACTTATATACTGTTAATAGTTACTACATAAAATTTTAAATACTGTTAGGAGAGTGACATGCTAAAATTTTTACAATGAGGTGCCCAATTCAAAAAAGCTTTTAAAGTACTGTGATAGTGGGGCACCTGAGTGGCTCAGTCTGTTGAGTGTCTGTCTTTGGCTCAGATCATGATCCCAGGGTCATGGGACCAAGCCCCATGTCAGGCTCCCTGTTCGGCAGGGAGTCTGCTTTCTCCCTCTGTCACCCTCTGTCACCTCCCCCATTCATTTTCTCTGTCACCTCCCCCATTCATTTTCTCTCTCTCTCTCTCATTCACTCTTGCTCTCTGTATTTCAAATAGATGAATACAATCTTAAAAAAAAAAAAAAGCACTCTGATAGTTACATAAGAGGAAAGAAAATTTGAAATAAGACAACCCTTAAAAAATCGAAACCATCCAGAACTAGAGTGGATTGTCCCAATAATACTAGCCCAAAATTCTCAAACATCACCAATTGGTTATGATGATTGAGAATTAAAGGTTTAAAACAACTACAAGGACACCTGGGAGGCTCAGTCGTTTAAATCTCCTACTCTTGATTTTGGCTCAAGTCATGCTCTCAGAGTCATGATCTCAAGGTCATGAGATCTAGACCCACCTCCTTCTCAGCTCACAACCAAGGCTGCTTGAGATTCCCTCTCCCTTTGTCCCTCCCTGTGCCCCCTCCCCACCCCGTGGGTGGGTGCTGTCTCTCAAGTAAATAAATAAATAAAATCTATAAAGCAACTATAATGTTACTATCGCTACTTGACTACAATGGGAGATAGGAAATAGATAATTACCCTAGAATGTTTAACAGTCCAATTGGGGAGCAAAGTTTAAATAAATAACAAGAGAACATTAAGTCACTTTAATTTCTTACTAGGAAAAAAAATGATGGCATTGATAATTCATTTCTTCTCAATGTTCTCACCAGCCCCCATTTAATATCCTGGTATAAGTTCATATTCCCTACACAGTAAAATTCTTCTAACATGAAATATTTATTTAGTAGATAAAAAAATAGACAAGTAGACTGACACTAAAGAGTTGAAAAACAACTTTTTAAAATGCCATGTTATGTAATAAGATCATGTCACAATTGTAAGAACATGTTCAGTTATTAAGTGAATGTTTTTAAAATGGCATATCTGCTTCTTAGATCTCATATAGTATATATTTTTATCAATATTTAAAAGAAAGCATATCTATCATTCATATATAGATTTTTAAATTTACATGTTTATCTAAATTGATCAAAAACTTTAACATTTTATATAGTTTTAATTCCTTCAGGTAAATTCCAGTGAATTTATATTTTGGTTTATTCATAGGCCATTTGAAGTTATGTGGGTTATGTTTTTAATGATAACAATACAATTTAATGACTCGGTTTCTGGAATCCCATGAATAAAATATAAAAGATGAATTTAATTTGCAAGACATTAATGAGAAGCTTCAGTGCATCTCCTCCTGATATCTTTTAAGAGATATCTAATTATTTTTCACTCATTAATATTATGAAAGCTGTAAAAGTCAGGTCATATATATTTTCATATGTCTTATTTTTTAATCATTTTGAGAGACTGTTAAATATTTCTTCCAAGAAGATGAAGATGAAGAAGAAAAAGAGGAGGAGGAGGAGATGGGGAGGAGGACGAGGAGGGGAGACAGAGGGGAGGAGGAGGAGGAAGAAGAAGGAGGAGAAGAAGGCGGAAGAGGAGGAGAAAAACTAGATCTGCTTTCAGATTATCCTACACAGTATACTGAGCTGGCTTGTGAACTTGACCACCCTGGCACTGTCATGGATTGTTGGTCTTTCATCTTCAGAAATCAGTGATGCAAGAGCATACATTTGCTGTCCATTGACAACATTCTATACTTGGTTAACCCAAAATGAAGTCAAGAAGATTGGGATTTTTAAGATCAGCAGTAACCAAGAAGTATTACAATGTGCTGCTCCATTATGTCAATTCAAAATCTTAGATATCAGAATAAACTTCAGATGTTTCATTTTCAACTTCTAAACACCTTGGAGGGTTCTGTATCATTGAACACCCAATTTTCTCATTGTGTAAATGCATTCATGTGTTCATGAAATAGAAGCAAAGTGACATGCAACTGAATATGAGTTTTTAATTCATTTTAAATAATTCTTATTTGAAAAAGTATAAGCTAACTTTTTGAGCGTTATCTACCAGGTACTATTGTAAGCATTTTATAAGTAACAATGCATTTTTCTTGCAAAACAACTCTATGAAGTAACTTTTATTATTGTTGTTGTTATAATTTACAGAATTAAAATGGAGGACAGAGAGATGTTAAGCAACTTGCTGAATTATTACATAAAGATAAATACATAATGAAGAATCTTTGGATTTTTCTTTTTTTTAAGATTTTATTTATTTAGTGCTTGCTTTGGCAGCACATACACTAATATTTTATTTATTTATTTGTCAGAGATAGAGAGAGTGAGCACAAGCAGGGGGAGCAGCAGGTAGAGAGAGAAGCATTCTTCCCAGGGAGGAATTAGGCTGATGTGGGACTTGATGCCAGGACCCTGGTATTATGACCAGAGCCAAAGGCAGACACTCAACCGACTGAGCCACCCAGGCAACCCCCTTTGGATTTTTCTTAAGGGCTATGTTATCATTGGGTAACTTTTTTTTTATTCACTCAGAAGATATTTATTTAATATAGTTCTTTGTAGGTACCATATTAGAAGCAGGAGACAGAAGTATAAACATGAACAATACCTCCTCAATGCCAAGCATCCAGATAAGCAACCATCACCCAAATCCACACAGGTATTAAATAATTAATGTAATTCAACAATATATCCCAAATGTCTCTCCTCTACCAAGTATTATCTAGCAAGCACTTTGTCAAACAGCTGGCATTTTGACAAAGGCTATATTCAATAATAATATTTTTACCTATTAAGCAATTAAGCATCTCCTATACAACTGTATTGAAACACCACAGATGTTCCCAGGCTTCTGCTATAGAGGGCTTCTGTGATAAGGTTTGTAGCGATGAACAAAGTTGAATAACTCTCATTCTCTTTTGAAGATGGACGCATTCGACACTTTTTTTTTCCTTAGAAAACTATGGAATTCTTGTTTCATAAATACTTTCTTTCATGTTTATATACCACAAATCCAATTTTACAATGCATTTCTAACTAGCTAGCTTGATTCTAAGAATGAATTGCCTTTCTTTTATTTTTTTAAACTATCTTATCAAAGGTGGGATTGTTAGGGGTGCCTGAGTGGCTCAGTCGGTTGAACATCTGCCTTCAGCTCAGGTCATGATCACAGGGTCCTGGGATTGAACCCCACATCCTGTTCCCTGCTCAGCATAGAGTCATCTCCTCCCTCTCCCTCTGCTCCTCCCCCTTGCTTGTGCTCTCTCTGTGTCTCTCTCAAATAAATAAATAAAATCTTTGTTTTTTAAAGGTGGGATTGTCATTGACTAAACCATTTCATAACTGAGAGATGTGTGCCAAAAAACAATGAGAAATGGGATTATATTTGAGATGAAGTCCTGGATGGTGAAGATTCCCATGGCCACTTTAAGAAAGTTGCAATCACAGAGAACAAAAGTTATCCTTTGGGACAAATACTTTAGTTCTTAAGATTGGAGAGAGAATATTAATGGAGTAGATTAAAGGAGAATGAGAAGAATCTGTGTACTGTGCCATTCACTTTATACCTGGACTTCCCTTTAAAATTATGAGTAATTTGCTTTTAAGTCAAAGTTTCATAAAAGAAAGACATTCTCTAACAAAATGAATGGCTCCAAATGAGATCATGCTAATAAAAATGTTGGTGATGTATAATCTATTAAATTTTCAAAATTTTGATTATAATATCTGTCCTGCCTACCTCCTAGACTTTCAACTCTCTGGATACAAAATTTCTTTGAAGGAGTAAATATGATATACAATATAATTTATGCTTCACAGGAGGGATCTTGTGGGAGTGGGTATATTGTTTATAAATATTAATGTTTACTGGATTTCATTGCATGCTTCCCTGTATTGCTATTTATAATCTAATATGTGCCTATTCATTGCAGTTATATATATGCTTAGTCATTAAGATATCTGTGCTTATTCTACTCTGCCTCATGGATTGAAAGTATCATTATAACAGAGAGCATGTTTTTATTATGCAGAGTTCTAGCCCCAGTAACTGTGTACTGATGGACATAGTAGGTGCTCAATAAATAACAATTGAATAAGTAGAAACAGGCCTCCTAAATGCAATGTGTGTTTATAGTGCACACAATACATCTGTATTTACATATTAAAACTATTAGAATTACTGCTGTTTGAGGTTATTGGGAGGGGGTATTTTTTGGAATTTAGATCTACTGCAGAATCAAATTTGGACATCATGTCTATGTATATTTAAAAAAAGATGACTCACTTCATAATCACTACTCTTCTGACTTGAAACCAAATATATTGTAATACAAAAATTTTATATGGGGGGGGTTTGAAGCATTCAGTACTGCACTGATAACTTAAATGATATTTTTCTCTGCTTTTGTCTTTACTTAAAGTACCATCCAGGGTCATGTAACAATGTGATAATGTTTGAGAAAATGAGATTCATAATCAGATGAACCAAGGTGCAGTTCGGAACTATATACTATTTCCTACTTGCAAGCTGTTAATTTTACTAAACTTTTACAGCCACCTGTGAGCTTAATTATACTCCTCTCAGGAGACTGTTGGGAAAACTAAATGTGATATAGTTCAGGTGCTTAGCAAGATACCCAATAGAGTAGCCTTTAGCTGTGGCTGTTATCGTTAACATAGTTCATCTTTTAAACAAGTATTTTTTTTTCTGTTTTGTTTGTTTTGTATATCTGTATATGTGTGTGTATGTGTGTGATTTCTTTTACAGATGGATATACCACAGATGACATTGAGTTTTACTGGCGTGGGGATGATAACGCAGTAACAGGAGTAACAAAGATTGAACTTCCACAGTTCTCTATTGTGGATTACAAACTTATCACCAAGAAGGTTGTTTTTTCCACAGGTTTGTATCAGGGAAGACGGTTAAGGGAAAAGGGGCTTCCACATAATTTGCAAAAGAGTCTATTTATATCGCAATTGGGTCCCAGGGAAAGATGATGACTAGAAGATTTAGATCTGCTGCAAACTTTCAGAACACCATCAAGCTCATTGCTCATTTGGGACCCACGCATTTTTTTCCTGGGAGCCACTCCCAACAAAGCTGAGGGGGTTAGTTCTACTCCTCTCACCTACCAAGAATGGACTAATGGTTAGAGACAGAACACAGAAGGAGAAATAAAGACCCAGGTCAGAGTTGTTTCCCCAATTTTATGCATTCTACGGTACTCCTCATAATCCTTTGAAAAATACCGGGAAGAGTCAAGTCAGGAAGAGAATTCCACATTTTCCTCAAAGGTTAAGAATTTCTTTATATAACCTTACCCCTTGTTTTGGAGCTAAAAGCCCTTCCAGCTGTTGAGATTATCCTGATGCTTTTCCATTGTTCCTCTTCCAGCATCGAGGCTTTAGGTTGTCAAATTTGGTTCTATCAGCACAAAATTTTAACAACAAAAAAAAGCTCAGGAAAGTAATACTTTGCTACATACTCATTAAGGGGGAAAAAAAAAACAATAAACCCATATGAATATTTCTTTTTATGATTTCCCCAGGCACAGAAATAACTAGTATTGTAACTATACATTTTAATCCTGTAAGGATTCAGGCACTTCCTTTCCTGCAAACTTCTTCAAGTAAGAGTTGTATGACTTCGTAAGAATACGAAGCCTCTAGCTTTAAAAAATAACAGAAACTTTTCCTAAATTTGAGGTCCTCTGGATCCCTAATACTGTAGAAATGAATTCATACTTGAAATATTCTTACTTCAGTATTATGACACTTACTAGAGCCCAAGATGGCTAGACAGGCTTTCTTTCAATATTAGTAAGAATATCACTCCCCCCACACACTATTTATCAATGTGACTTTTTATATTCTATGTTCAGTTACATGTCTTTTTTAATTTTTTTATTTTTTAAAAGATTTTATTTATCTATTTGTCACAGAGAGATCACAAGTAGGCAGAGAGGCAGGCAGAGAGAGAGGAGGAAGCAGGCTCCCCACCAAGAAGAGAGACCCATGCAGAGGCTCGATCCCAGGACCCTGAGACCACGACCCAAGCCGAAGGCAGAGGCCCAACCCACTGAACCACCCCGGCGCCCCTACATATCTTTTTTAAAGAGAAATTCCCCAGATCATCATAATAGAAGGACCTAGCTACAGGAATCTGATCCTTTAGTTTCGTCTCCTACAAATACCCTTTGAAACCAGTGATTCTCCACTGTTCGATGGGTCAGAAATCCCTTTAGAACTCCGGTGGAATCAATGGAATTAGAAACAAGTGTGATCCATACATGTGAAAACCTTCACAGCACTTTAGGGAGTTGCTATATACCTGAAGCCGTGTCAATGATCCTGGAATTACAGTGAATTCTGGGGCTTGGGAAGAGATTACTAAAATATGATCAGACTTTGCAGCCTTATTCTTACATACAAAACCTAAAAATCTTACAGGATAGGCTTGTTGAGAAACAGCTGAGGGGGAACAAAAGGGCTGTACCAAACTATTTTGTCTTCATAGTTGTAGAGAATGAGTGTCTTTGATCCAGTGCCAGAGGCTGAGCAGGGAAGAGCTGGAATTCTTTTAATTACTCAGGAGTGTGGGTGTACTCAACACCGAGTGACTCTTGCTAATTAAAAGCCCAGTGTTCTCAGACTACTTTTGCAGGAGAAAGTGCCCTTCACCAGAAGCTAAGATTGAATTTAAGAAAGATATACAAACTACTTATGGGCCTTAAAGGGAAAGTATCTATAAATATTGATTGATAATGATGACGTTCTAAAATTGCCTTCTAGGTTCCTATCCCAGGTTGTCCCTCAGCTTTAAGCTTAAGAGAAACATTGGTTACTTTATTCTGCAAACATACATGCCTTCCATCCTGATCACTATCCTCTCCTGGGTGTCCTTCTGGATTAATTATGATGCATCAGCTGCAAGAGTGGCATTAGGTAGGCCATTTTCTAACTGCTTATGGAGCTTGACTCTATGTGTCTACATGTGTGTGCTTATGTGTGTGTATGTGCATGCACGTCCACTCACATCCTTTCCTTACCCTGGTATTTATGATGCATGACAAGACTGGACTGTGCGCTTTACAAGAATTTGGCTGTGAGACTTTGGGTTATCTGATTCAGCATTAAATCAATTAAATACAAATTAAAACTCTTTCATGTCAAATTTAGTTAACCATATAGCAGTAAGTAATGAAATTATTCCTGTCAATTTGATATTTTTACTGAAGCATAGTTCATGTAATACCACCTGATAATTGTCCAATTTGCATTGGTGCTTCCTTACCTAGAAAGAGCTCCCTTCCATCTTTTTCTTTTTAAACTCTCTGAGCTGAAGACAAGGAAATGTATTATGTAACTATCAGATAACTAAAAAGACTTCTAAAGTCTTATTAAGATTTTGGAGTAGCGTGGTAGAGGACAGAAGACAACAAAGTAAGATTGCTGGGAAATTATTCACAGCATCGCTTATCTTATGCTTGCTTTTTTTTTTCCCCTTATAACACCAGAGGAAGAGAATAAATTATATTTCATGAACATTTTTTATGTTACTAACTCCAGATATAGTAAATTATGATCTTTTACACAATTTTTATTATTTCAACTTCTGACTAAGCCCTTTAAAATGTTGGGCTGTTAACTCCTCCACTGTGATATCCCAATCCAATCATCACTTCTTTAGAGAAGTCATTCATTTATTCATTCCACAAATATTTGTTGAACACCTACTATGTGCCAAGCATACTAGACACTAGAGATAAAGCAGCACTCTTCTGGAAGATACAGTAACAGTAAAAAGACAATAAATTTATTTTGCTTATAATGTGTGAGCTCTATAATACAATAAGTCTATAGAGGGAAATACACAAGGTAAGGGTTGGATATGCCAGGTGGTGCAGTTTACAATAATCATTGTAAACTTCATTCAGAAATTATCAATGGAACTAAGACTTCAAGAAGACAAACTCACTTAAATGTCTAGATGGGAATATTCTGGCCGACTACAAATGACCTGAGGTAGGAAAGTGCCAAGGATGTCAGCGAGGTGGCCAGTGAAGTGAAAGCAAGAGAGAGTTCCGGGGTCAAGATAATGTTGGAGAGAGGGAACTGCAAGATTATGAAGCAGTTCCAGGGCCATGATGAAAGTTCTGCTTTTATTCTGAATGAAATTAGAGAGTCACTGAGTGAAGACATGTCATGATTTGATTTCAGGTTGAAAGGGATAACTCTGGCTGCTCTGTTAAGATTAGATTGTGGTGATTCGAGAATAGAAGGGAGAAGTAATGATCTCCTGCACTAGGTCTAGTCCCCTGTGATATATTCTCTTAAATACTAGAGAACTTCCTTTTATAGACCAGTGCAGTTATAATTATATTTATTTGGTTTGCGATGTCCTTTTTCTTCATGGTATTGAAAGGTACATTGAAGAAAGGTCCATATCTAATTTTGCTTCCATTATACCTGTGATATCTCATACAATGAATGGTGTTCAGTAAATATTTGCTGAATAAAGTAATGATTAGAATTTGTTAATATCCTCTTATTCCAAAGTGAAAAGTCTGATGTCATTTTTATGTTTATTACAGGAATAATAAATTATTCACTTTTTAAAAGAAATTTGTAAAATAGTCAGAAATATCTTAAAATTAGATTGAGATAAAAAGCAAAATCAGCACTGTCAGTTTTATGACATACATGTCGAACAGGGTACCCTGCAGTTGAAATAATGAAAAGATAAATGAAACTGGGAAGTGTTCAAAATGACTGATATTATAAAAAAAGATACAAAAATTCTAAAACACCTAAAGCAAGAACAGGGTTTTTCTGGCCCTGCTCAGAATTAGATTTTAGGGCAAATTTTAGGGCAAATTTATTTTTTCTATAGCTGTTTTATGAGCATGTAGAAAAACAATACAAAAATTGGTATCTTTTTAGAGCAACAAAATTAAATCAGAAAACTTACACTTCCAAAATATCATAGACATGAAATTTAACTCAGCTTTCTGAGTCAGAAAGACCCCTATTCAAATGTTGATCATACAATTCCCATCTGTGTGATCTTGATCTCTGGGCTCTATTTTTACATCATTATTTTGCTACAAAACTGGACCTTGCCATACTCAGGACTTTGGACTCCCAGTGCTTTTACCCAGCATACCTTCCAATTGTAGAGGGAAACTACTCTTCACTCTTGGTGATGACCACTCAGTGGAATGAACAATTATAACCTGACCCAGTATGCCATGTCCCATAATCTTAAAATGCTTCTATACTGTTTATTGTGCATTATGTGCCTAGCTGCCCAATCCAGAAATACGAGGGCTAGGCACTGGCCTCTCTGTTACCCATCATTTCCAGCTTTGATGTTTTTACAGTCATTTGTCTGTATTATCTATATAATGCATTCACTGATTTCAGTACTATTGTGATTGTTTTAATTTGTTTTCTCTGTATCACTTAGATAATTCTGAAAAAACTAATAGCTGGTATTCTTTATTCCTGTCTTGTATGCTTTCCTTCTATCCTCCACATGAGTACCAGAGTGATTGTCCTAAACACAATCTGTCCCTTGCTTCCCTGCTTGAAGCTGGTCAATGGCCCCACCTCACCTTCAGTTTTAAGTTCAGACTCCCCAGTTAGGCTCTGTATATATGGCTCTCCATTATGCAGCGTTACTTAGTCTTCACTCTCCTCACCATGCTTCCTGTCATATCCTATAATGTACCGCATTCAATTCCTTGAAATTGTTTTGATGGGCCATATTCTTTCTCCTCCACACACAAAACATACCTTTATAAAATCTCTCTCTACCATACCTTGAGCTCTAAATCCTTGATCACTTGGGTATCTCCCACTCATCCTTCAGGACTCAGCTCCAGAGTCTCCATCTCCTGACCACTCCTGCTGCATCATGAGGCTCACCTAGGGTCTTCTCCATATCCTCAACATTCACCCTATACAGACGTCTGCCATGTCATCTAATTCACATCTCTAGCCCCTCACTAGATATATAACTATAAATACAAGAATATAAATAAAGGAAAAGTTTCCAAGTGATAAATTTTACTATAAATTCATGATTTAAATGTGCCTCCAGGGTCTATCACAGCACAGGTATGTAATCAGTACCGAGTAACTATTTTGTGGCATATATGAATGAATGAAAGAGTACAATAAACCTTTGCAACTATGATGAAAACAGCAAGGAAGCAGGGATGTTATTCTTCTAACTCTGTCAATTTTTTTTTCAGGAATTACAACTGTCCTTACAATGACCACGATCAATACCCACCTGCGGGAGACACTCCCTAAAATCCCCTATGTGAAGGCCATTGACATGTACCTGATGGGGTGCTTTGTCTTTGTTTTCATGGCCCTTCTGGAATATGCTTTGGTCAACTACATCTTTTTTGGGAGGGGACCCCAACGCCAAAAGAAAGCAGCTGAGAAAGCTGCCAGTGCCAACAACGAGAAGATGCGCCTGGATGTCAACAAGGTAAATTCAGAGGGCAAGCCCTCCTTGCTTCCTAAACTTATAGAAGAATGCCAGCAATATAGGTTAATGGCCTTGTTTAATGAATGAGGAAAGCAAGGCCCAGAGAAGAGAATGGGTAGTTTTTCCAAAATCATAAAGTTAATTAGTGGTGGAGGCACAATTATGGCCCAAACTCATGATATAACCTTTGGATACCCCTTACGTTAACAGTAGGGTTGCCCAAAGCATAGTCATCTGAGAACTATCCTTGTGACTTTTTCCATATATGAGTATAATGTGTACTATTATTTATTTTATATTTATTTACATTTGCTCCCTTTAAATAACCAACAAAGGAAATTTTATATCACTTAAATCAGTATTACTTGCTGGAAGATAATCTTAAGTGAGAAATATGAAACTATGTTATTAAATTCTAGGCTATACTAGATGAAGACCCTGGGCCTGAGCCTATTCTTTGATTTAAAAGGGAGATAAACAAGTACAGAGATGTATTAAAGAGCCACCAGCAACAAATGAGGTCTTTTCTCTTTGAAGTCATCAGAGGATAGAAAGATAAGTGAAGGGGAGAAAGAATAATTTTCTCCCTCAGTGACAGATAATCACTTAATGCCTTGCACATGTACCACTTAAGATTGCTGAAACACATGACTGTAGGAGACTGCCAACTTGCTTAAGTTACGCCTAGTCAAAGAACAATTTCCATGCAGTTGTAAACCCTGTTTAGTCTTTAAGGCAGTGGTTTTCAACCTTGGTTGCCAAACTGACTGACTGTGAGAGCATTAACAAATACTGAAGCCTGATTCCTTTCCCAGAAATTCTTATTTGAATGTACTAGAATATGGCTGGGCATCATAATTTTTAAAAATTCTTCAAATGTCATTCTAATTTGCAGTCAAGATTTAGAATCTCCATTTTGAGGTTTTTGACATCAGTCCAGTGGATCCATCCCTTTTTACCACCCAAATGTGACTTCACCTGGCTTCCTCTATCAAACTCTCTGTACTAAACAGAATATTTATATATGTGTTTTCCCATAGTCCAAATTTAAATCCTTCAAAAGAGATTTAAAAAGGTCTATTTTAATATCTGCTGTAAATAGTGTTTATAAAGCAGTGCATAGTGTTAAATTTAATAAATAGTTCACTGTGATGAAACCAGGAAAGTAGTAATACTTTGAAACCATCTAGAATTATTAACCATATCAATCATTATTTAATTGACATTTTAATATTTCTATCTTCAAGTGATTTCCAAGGATAGCACACCATAAATAATCTCTACAGTTGAATATTACTTAGAACAAACCAAATGAAACCTTCTAATTCACTGTTTTTACATATCCATAGTATTCTCTAAGAGAAGACACTCCTTCTCTGGTAGATGATATTTTTAATAATGCATATTTTAAGTATGACCCTTGAAAGTTAATGAACCATGGGTCTAGAAAATTATGAATTTCTTTACAGTGCCTGAGTTTTCACTTATTAGAATCTGTCAATAGGTTCCAACCTAGCATTATGGTTCTCTCAAGCTGTCAAATGAAAGAATACTTTATAAATCCATTCTATGATTTTTCTGATATAGTAGCATTAGTTAGATAAATAAATAAATAAATAAATAAATAAATAAATAAAACTATCTCATAGGACTGCATTTTGAAATGAGTCTAAATCAATTGCCTAATGAAATGCTGACTTGATAAGATAACATCTGATCTCTTTTCACTTTCATCTACCCTGTTTTATACCAATTTGCATTTAAATGATAAATTTAAAAGCCAGAGAGTGGCAGTTTTATAGCAAACTGAACCTGGAGAGCTTCAGAGTTTAAATTCAATGTACTGAGACCGAGATAGAGAATGGTTCACTGAGCAAATACCCCACAGTAGTGAAAAGCCCATCCTCTTGGCTGAAGTTGAAACCACAATTCTGAGCGTAGAATATGAGAGAACAAAAAAGATATCAGAGCTCTTCTAGTACAGTGGTTCTCAAAAAACAGGTGATTTTTTTTCCCCCCAGAGCATCTTTGGCCATGTGTGCAGATATTTTGGATCGTCAAAACTGGGAGGAGGGAATTGCTTCCAGTATCTAGAGAATAGAGACCAAGGATGCTCCAGACATCCTTCTGTGCATTGAACAGCCTCCTCCTAACAAATAAATATCCAGCTCCAAATGTCGATGATGCTGATGTTAAACAACCCTGCTGTAATCCAATCCTGTACTGTCAAGCATAGGAAACTGAGGCCCAGAAAAATATAAGATGTTTGTCCTCATGCAAGTGGTTTCTCCACTTTCTTCAATCAAGATGTGTAATGTCAAGACATCAGAAGTTATAATTAGCACAACGGTTCTGAACAAGTATTTTGTAGTCAGTTCCAGCATTTACCCTCCATTTACAGTTGTGTGACTATACATACTAAACAAACAAATAAGCAAGCAAGCCTCTCTGACCCTTCAGTTTCCTTATCCATAAAAATGGGGTTAATTCCTCTCCATAAGTTATTATGAAGATTGTTCATGATAATATGTAGAGAGGATAACATAGTCCTCAATGTATGGCAAATACTCTGTAAGTGATAAATAGTAATCAAATATTAAAATATTGTAAATAATGGGAATTATTACTTTTTAAAGTAAAATTTACAGTCTCCAGACATATAGCCAATGCTAGTTTGTGTATTTTACAGAGTAAATATCTAGTATATAAGGAGGAGTCACATTCCTGAAAGAGAGTACTATCTACAGAGGAATGTTTCATGTTAGAAGTTTTAAAGTCAATGCAAGGAAATCATTTTCAACACATATTAGCTATAAAATCTATAGCAAACCAACTATAAACTTTATCATTTCTTAGGCCAGAATACTTAGAACCATCTTGATTTAATTAAAACAAAACAGTGACCATCTCACATTCCATACTCCTATATATATATATTTTTTAAGCCAGCATGAAGGATTAGAGATCTACTTGGGGCTCTGATTGCACATCACTTTTCTTTTGTGTTGGCATCATGAATAATGCCACTCCATTTCTTATCAAGAATGTCCCTTCTTTTCAACTGTAATTCTAATTTTTTTTCTTTCTTTTTTTTTTTTTTTTCCCCTAAAGCTGGGGCACAAATAATCAGTTAAGTATTGTTGGATGCTCTGGAAATTTCAGTCACTAGAAAAGGGATTGACCTTTTCAGCTTCCCTTGATGGTTTCCTAGAGACGCAGATAGCTTGTCAGATCATCTAAAGTGATTTTTTAAACTGTGCTCTGTTCTGAGGTCAGGGAGGGATGAATATGGGAAGCCTAGCTAGGTGGGAGCCAACTGTTACTCAAGGACATACTTCCACATTTTTCCAATCTCTTCTCTGTACTGGTTTCCTGTACCTTTTTAATTTAACAATAATATATGCAGCTCTTAAAACAATTCTTATCTTGTCATTCAATTGATGCAAAAACTAAGGCTCTTAAGGAGAATAAAATATCCAAGGTTGCATAACAAAATTAATAAAATTTCTGAGAATCTGGCTTTTCCAGTCTATCTGGCATACATTCTGCTATGCTAGGAAGTACGAAAATGATATAAAATTTAAAAGCTGATTCCACATTAGTCCATATATTCAATTCAGTTAACTTCACCTAAAAAAACAAAATCTGTTTACAAATGAGAGTCCATGGCCAACAAACAATATCACTTTCATTGTGTTCATGTAACAAATTAGGTTCTAAAATCCTAAGAATTTTAGATAAACCTCAAACCAAAAAGAAGTCTACTTAATATTTTTTCCAAGTGTCTTCCAGAGTTGTTTAATTATATGTGTGTGTGTGAAAAAATATATATATATATGTATATATATATATATATATATATATATATATATATATATATATATATGGTTTATAATCTCATATAAAATCTCTACCCTAGTGTTAGGAGAGCCCTTCCTGTTTACCCTAGCATTCTTCTATTTGTGTGTGTGTGTGTGTGTTTCCTTATAGAATTTGTTCTTGATTAATTTCACTTCCTTTTCTTGCTTATGCCTTCAAGTTTTCAATTCTCTTTTCTTCCTTTAAGCTTTATGTTGTTCATTGTTTATTTTGTTGCCAATTACCAAATGTATGTATATTTGAGAATTTAGTTGCTCCTGCCGTTTCACCACCTTGACTCCTGCATATCTGAAAAGCCTCCAATATCTTAATTGCTTTGAGGGACCCATAACCACCAGTTTTCCAAATAAAGCCAAAAAGATCTCAATTTGGGGAACATTCTTTATTCTGCACTTATAGATGTTGTGAGTCTCTGTGTTGCCTTTATCCGTTGTGCCTAATTTTTTTGTTATGCAAAGCCACTAAAACCATTTAAATCTATTCATTTCTAGTGCTTGGAATTAGTTTTCTTTTTTTTAATGATATATTAAAAAAATACAGGTAATTCAAAATCCTACTCTCTGTTAGCACCAGTCTTTCTAAAGACCAGTAGCATTTATCAATATCCAATTTACTTTAACCACAAATCCTAATCTACTGGCATCAGTCGACTTAATTAGCACATTCTCTACTTTGTTTTCCAGATTTTTTATAAAGATATTAAACAAAATGGGACCCAATATCGATCCTTGTGGGACCCAACTGGAAACCTCTCCCCAACTAGACGGACTACCAATTACGATTTCTCTCTGTATACGGTTAGATAGCCAGTTTTTAATCCATTTATTTGTATTTCTGTTGGAGCCAATTTGTTTAGCTTTTCCCTGTAAAATAATGTATGGGGTCTTTGCATATAACCTATGGACTTATATCCACAGAGACTTGGAAATAACTTAAATGTTTTCATGAGACCCAAATGGGATTTTCCTGTTTGTTTGTTTTTGTTTTTTTTTTTTAATATAGCTATAATGAATTTCCATTCAGTCATTATTATTGTGCTAGAGAAAGAAACCAAGTGCCTCGTATTTTGAGATTCCTTTTCATTTGTGCTGAGAGACTAGAATATCATTATATACTGTGGCATTTCTTAGTTTTCTCGGTGGTTCTGTTGGTTAGTGGAATAGGTGGAGAATTATACATCCTTTCTATTGGTTGACTCAGAATTTAAGGACCTATATATTCTGGCCTAGATTATTAATTTATGCCTAGGGATGTTATGTTTGCATCAAGTCCTTGTTGCTTTATTATTATATATTTTACAAATAACTATTACCTTGGTGGACTCGACACTATTATAATGATAGGTAAAAGGCAATAATTGACTTTGTTCCTTGTTATACCTCTTGGCTTAAATGAATTCCAAAGAAACCCCCCCCTTTTTTTTTTTTTTGGCTAATACTTACAGTTCAGTTCCTCATGCGTTTGCAATTCTTAATTGGCAAATTGTCTTTCATATTGCCCTCCACATTGGAGGAGGAAGAGAATTGTCACCATTCTACCTTATCATCCACAATTTATCCAAACTGCATTTTTAAAAAATTTCTATTTCTTGGTGAGGCAGTGAATGATAGTGAATGCCTGTGAATCTTTCCTAAGAGGACTTGATGCTTGATAAGCTGTTATTGTATCCGCTGAGTATCATGTTCTTCTCGAATTTTGCTGTTCTGACTCAAGTTTCCTTAATTCCAAATTTTTATTGTGTTTGGGGTGGGAGAAAGGTATAGTTTATCTATTAAATTACTACTCTGTTTAGGTGTTTTTAAACTGTCTTTTAACTTTATTACTTTTTGTGGTATGCATAGTTACAGAGTCTGATAAATGGTGTTAGGTAGATTCAAGGAGAAGAGATATTTGAAATTTTGCCATCACTAAGTTAGTCCTAGTCCCCTAAACATCTGGCCCCTACTGTGTCTGTTCTCTTAGGCTACTTCATTTGTGTTGTGCTGCTGTTCTCATTTTTAACTCTAGCTACTCTTGTTGAAATTTAAGTAGACTGATTTGGTTGGGCAGTATTCTGGATAGAATGCTAATCATTTAGAAAAAACACTTTGGACAGTTGGAATTTGGGTTTATAATGAAAACAATTGAAGAATGTTGTATTTTTCAAAACCAGAACCAAAGAATACTGCATGATTGTTCTAGTGACTTGGTAAAGTTATATGAAAATTCAGGAAAATCCTCAGATTGTGAGAATATTTTAAAAACAATTTGCCTCTTTGGTGCATTAAATTTTTCAGTTGATGACTTGAAAGAGTTGTTGATACTGTCTAATACCGATTTAGATCCTAATTTCCTAAGAACTCTTTCACTATTTCATTAAACATTATGTTAAAGAGAATGTTCAATGATTTACATTGAAGTATGAATCTTAATGTCTTCTGCTTTTATGCTTTTTTGTTGGTGGTGATTATGTCTTTATTCTGTTCTTTGAGTTCTCTTTTAAGTTCACATTCAGTATATGAAATAAGGACTGGCATTGAAAAGTTTGAATAATGAGCTAATAAATCTGTAACCTGTAAAAACATCAAAATGTATGTGACAATCCTCAGAGGCAATAGGGTCCACTGGGAAAATGGTGGCTTTTAGAATCAGACTGAACTGGGTTTACGTTCAGGCATGGTCTTTTACGAGCTATGTGACATTAGATATGTTTAACCTTTCCACCCTTCAAATTCCTCAACTGAAAACTAAACACTAATTTCTGCCTCATGGAGCTGCTGAGGGGATTAAATGAGATAATTCTATTAAGGGCCTTATATAGTACCAGACAAAGAGCACTCAATAAATAGTTATTATTCTGGAGAAGATAACAGAGAATATGTATCTTTCTCATTTTTTTCTTAGTTCTATTACTATATTTCTAATTATAAAGCTAATTCATGATTTTTTTAATGTATAAAAGGCAATAAAAACTGTCTGTACCTCCACACCCAGGTATAATCATTGTTAACATTGCCTTTTATTCACATGACATTCTTTTATTTAAAGAATTATGCTCTGCTATTTTGCATACTGCTATATTCCACTTCCTTTTTTGTACATTCAAGTATAAATATACATCATTTCTAGTAGCTACAAGATATTTTATTGATATATGTACCATAATTTATGTCATGAGCACTTATTGTTAGATATTTACATTGTTTCCAAGTGGTTTTCCATTATAAATAACACTAAGCATTTCATTGGTAACATGTTTGTACACCATTGATTACTGATATATTGCTTAAAATGGAATTTCTGGGTAAAAAAGTATGTGCCTTGAAAATGGTGACACATTATTGCCAAGTTGCTCCATAGTAAAGTTCTGCTGTAGTTGACATACCTACTAGAACCATATGAGAATGTGGCAGTACATACACACACACACATACATGATGTCACCCAGCCTTAAAATGACAGAGAGACAGAAAACTGATGCCTATGTCCAATTGAAAAAGTGTTAGAGAAGTGAAGGTAGAAGAATCCAAAACATATGTCCTCTCCATTCAAAAGTCATAGAGAAAAAAAAAAAAGCCATAGAGAATAACATGGCAGTAGAAAAACAAAACAGAAACAATCAACATTCAACTCAAACTGAAGCTCTGCAGAGAGAAAGAGATGCATCAGTAGAGCCAGTATTCACGCAAGCAGAATCCAGACAAATCCACCCAAGCTATGGTTGAGCAGATGGGGAGATCATTAGATGCGTCTAAGCAAAGAAACAGCATGGCAACTCTACAAGAAAACTATAAATTACTCTGTCTCTATCTTCTTAGGTAGAGAGAGAAAGGAACTCAGGATGCTAAAGACAGATAACAACCCTTACTGGAAAAAAATACTTCAGGATAAATTAAAATTTCCCTAACAAAAGTTTTTCTCACCAAAAATTGAAAGAGAATATGAAACAAAAGATCATGGATGGGATGATAAACAAGGTGCTATGCGGTGATTAAGAAGGCAAAAGTGAAGACAAAGCAATCTCTGTAGAAACTAGTAAACAGTGAGAAAGAGAGTAAGTGTGGCAAAAAAATCAATGCAGTGACACAGAGTTCAGATTGTAGAAAAGTGTGCCAAATGGAGAGAAGAGAGATGCAGAGAGAAAAACCACTTAGAAAAAGACATAATAAATATATAAAACAGGTAGGAGATTAAACATGCAGAATCATGTTGTTAGTATAGAATGGAATAAAATGGAATAGAAAAAATCTGATGTCAATAATTATAATAATAAAGAATACTTATTGAATGCCTTTTCTGTTTTTAGACACTTTACATATATTACATGATATAGTTTTTATTATTATCCTTTGTTGTAGTAATTATAATTTTACAGATGATGAACTGAGACCCAGAGACTGTAATTAACTTGCTTAAGGTTAGACAGCTAAGAAATGGTTGAACAGAAAATATGACTACAGACTACACTCTTAACTAATATGCTAGATATTATATATTTATACATATCTGTGATGAAATTAATCAGTAAGCCATAAGGATATACTGGGTTCCAAGGTTAAAAATTATATAATCTCATTACCACCTTGTTATATCCTTCTGACATTACTAAACTTCCAGTCAGAAATAGTAGCTGATCTCTAAGGAAGGAAAAAAAAAAGTTAGGACTCAAACTACTCTATAGTAATATTAAATTTTGTAAAATAATGGAAAAATGTTATAGGGCTCTGAGGGGAAAAGAATAAACTAAGAATATTATTGTTGATAGATAAAGGCAAAAGAAAATAAACTGTACTCAGTATTCAAGGTTTAGTAAATAGAGCATCCATGAAACCTTATTTAAAAAGCTTAATAAAAAAGTCTAGCTCCAATTAAAGGTAGTCCAAGTAAGGAACTTTAGAACAGGAAAAGCCAGTGTGCTAGCATTCAGAACTAAAGACGGCGTGTCAATCTAAAGCTATATAGCTCCAAAAATTAGAGTTATAGAATAAAAGATAATTCAATTATTTAAAAAAACTAAATACTAAATACTATATAAAAAGAATAAATCAGGATGTGTATTCTTGAAGAGGGATAAAGTGTTGTTTCCTAATTCATAGCAAGGACTCGACATTTACTCTTTAGGGTTTATGAATCAAGAAGTTGAAGATTAAGGATGTTTAAAATTAACATAGCTACAATTACTACAATTACTACAATGGTGTTTCTTGAAGGGTGCACTATAGACCGCCTACATTAGGGTCATCTGGGGTGCTTGCTTAAAAAGTAGATTCCAAGGGCACCTGGGTGGCTCAGTGGGTTAACCCTCTGCCTTGGGCTCAGGTCATGATCTCAGGGTCCTGGAACTGAGCTCCATATCAGGCTCTCTGCTCAGCAGGGAGCCTGATTCCCCCTCTCTGTCTGCCTCTCTGCCCACTTGCGATCTCTCTCTCTCTTTGTCAAATAAATAAATAAAATCTTAAAAAAAAGTAGATTCCACTTTATTTATGAGATATCATAAATCACACTTTTTAGTGGGACAGCTGAGGAATCTGCATTTTATCTCCCAGATCTGTCGCATCCACCGAAACATGAGAGTTTAAGGATCGGAATCCATGTGATGAACTGACAATTCATTGTATACAAACCTCAGATAATAGGAAGGAAATAAAGAAAGATGAAGGTAAAGCAGCTAAGGCTAGATGTCAGAAAAAAGGATAAGGACAATTTAAAAGGAAATTTAAAGAATAAATTAAGACAATAGAATTAAGACCAAGCTTGTCTTAACTGCTATATATAACTAGAGCACCTAATCAGTTTACCTATCAGAAGAGTAAGATTG